GAAGAAATCCAAAGAATTGGGAAAGATGCCTGAGTCGGCCAACCCGATGCCCCAGCCGGTTCCGGGTCGTGGAGGGACAAGACTGGCTGTGTGTCTAGAGCTGGGACGCCTGCTAGGTTTGGGCCGCCGCCGATGATCGTTTCTGTACTGGGGAAACTGCACGCAGAACCCAGGGCCTGAAAACGCTGGCAGGTTTCTTGAGACCCCAAACGAGGGCGTTCCTCTCGCCAGAGAAACCGGGGCTTTGGGGAGCCCCTGGACACCACTTTGCGGACTTCTGGGAGAGCCGGTGGGCACAAAGCTGCCCGATGAACAAGTCCCACCGAGTTTTCTTTTTAGAGAAGTACCCATCACAGCCACACCCCAGGAAACAATTCGCCTAACATGGTAGGCAGGCGGTGGCACGTTTGATCTAACCAGCAATAAACTAAGCTTAAGAACTATCACAACAAACCAGACAGCGGACAAGCCTCGGTTGTGAATACTCAGAATATTGGAGTCTGGGAGGTCAAGGAAATTCTGGAGAGAGGATGCGCCCCGAGACAATTTTGCAAAATTAAAGTTCTGGGGGTTGTGACTTTAAACAGGAATTTAAAAGGGAAAAGCAAAGGAAAGGACAACATCGCCCACGAAAGGAAACCCACCATCTTTTCACCGTGGCTGTTCCGGGCAGGTGGCCGGCTGCATCCGGCTCTTCCAGGAGAAAGTCGTCAGGCCTCGGGTCGCGTCCCGACGCCGCTTGTGCCCCCGCCCGGTTTGCTAGACGCGTGGCTCGGGGTAGCCTTGCTGAGTTTGGGGATGAATCAGCACCCCGCCTCCTCTCCCTCACTCTCGGATTTCCAGGCCCGGGAAGCTCGGGGATTTCCGAGCACCGCTTTGCAGACCCGGAAGCGCGACGCGGCCAGGGACCCCCGGGCGGTCCAGCCTCCTCCACCCGTAGCATCCGGGTGCAGAGTAGTTTCCTTGTGGCTGACAGGAAAGGCATTCCCCTCTTCACATCAAAACCCCAGGGTTTTTAATGGTTCCAAGTCACAAACCTGGGCCGAGCTGCCGGCGAGGCCTCGCCCCTTCCGCGGCGCAGCAGCGACTGTCTCCGCAGGCCTGGCCGCCCGCATTTTAACCAAAATCACAGAGCAAGACCGCGAGGTGCCGCAGTGCCTAGAATGTATTCCTTCATCCGAAACGAGCGCAGAGCATTAAAAAAAAAAAAAAAAAGTAATTTTATTGTAAATTATTTACATTGGAATTTTTCTTTTAATTTTTTTTTTTTAGGCAAATAGTACAATAACGAACGATTCAAATGCGGGTAGGTGTCACTGAACCTGGCGACTAACTTTGTTCTGAATGTTTTGGATATTTGGATGTTTTGTATTTATGTGGTGAGAGTGAAATATATATCTATCTATATCTATGACGACACAGGCGTTATTTTTGTCTTATATTTAAAGGAGAAAATAGAAAAAGACTATGAAAAGAAGACAAACCACGTAAATGACGAGGCTTGGCATGGGGACTCGTGGGGCAGAGGGTGGCAGCGTTGGCAATGCGGGGCCCTGCGCCGTGAGCGCCTGGGCGGGCTTGATTTGTCCCACTTTGCGTGTCCATCCGTTTCTGTTTGTCCCTATGGTGTAGGCCACTCAGGCCATCTCTTCGCCCCCTCCCTCGTGTTTTTCAGTTGATGTAAGACCCTGTCTCCCGACACCCTGAAGTCCTTTCCTCCTGATGCGCTCACTTTCTAACAATTCCACCTGCATCTCGAGTTAAGTTTCTTGGCTGCCAAAGAGAAAGCTGAGGGAGCAAAAGAATCAACTGGATATTAACTCTCGCCCAAGGGCCTCGCCCCGAGATCCCAGCACACGTGCGGCGGTGACTCTTGCACACGCGTGTAGAAGTTGCAAACCGAAATCTAGGCAAGCTAAGAGGGCTGGGAAGCGGACTCCACCGCACGCTCCCTGAAAGCAAACTGGTAACTGGGCGAGCTCGGCCCTGCGCCGCCTGCAAAGCGGCCCCTGCCCCCCGGGGTGCCCTGGGACTCGCAGCTCCTCTAGGGCACCCGCACAAGCCAGGCCTCCCGGCTTCCTCGCGTGGCCTGTGCCAGAAAGCGCCAGGTTGAGGCGTCCGAAATCAGGCGGCGGCGGCGCAGCGTGGCCGGAGTTCTGCGCTGAGCGTGGATTGGGGCGCCCGGCAGCGGGATGGAGGGGCCTTCGCAGCGAGTTTGGCTGAAATCGGAGCAGCCGCAGCCGCCAGACGGTCCGCTTTCGTTTCTCGAAGTCGCCACTCCCCCTGCCCCAGCTTGTCTACCTCGGCTTTTCCCTCGGTGCGCTCCTTCCCGCTCGCAGCTCTGACTGGGTGGCTTTCCCGCTTCCACCCCGGTCCACTTCGCTAGCCCTGCAGCCCCCTGCGCTCCCTCTGAGGGCGTTCTCCTTGGTGGACGCTCTGGTTCCAGCTCCACACCTTTTCCCTTGTCCATTGCTGCCCTTGCTTCGGCTTTCTCTCCCTCTTTCCCTCACTCCCTCCATCTCTTCCCTCCACTGTCTCTCGCGCCCTTTTGGATTCTTTCCTCTGTCCCGGTGGCCTCCAGGCAGGGGCGCTAGGTGTTGCTGGCGGCGGTTTCTAGGCTGGGGGCTGGGGCCCAGAGGGGCAGAAGGGAGGGAGAAGGTGGGATAATTTTATGGAACAAAAGAAAATAGAAAACCCAGCTCACAATCTCCAACAAGCTCAGTCTCCTCCCCCAGGGCCTTCAGCGGGGGAGCCAGCAAGCCCATCTCTCCCTCCAGCTTTGATGTCTTCCCGCCTAGTTGCTCTCTTACCCCTAGAAAAGGGGACGCTCTAGTCACCTATCACCTCCCTGCTGCCTCCCTTGCTCCCCTGGCTTTGGGAAGAGCTGCCCAGCCCCCGCCTGCCACTCAGGGAGCGCCATTGTTCTTCAAGAGCCTCTTCTGAACAGAAAAAGAATCACAATTTTAATTAAAAAAACATTTATAGACAATTCGTTTAATTTTAGTGCCTGTCTTTGTTTCCCTCCTTCCCAGAGGGCCTCCAGCAAGCTGATTTGGGCCCCGGGATCTCTAGTGAGGCCTCTGGCAGAAGCTCCAACTCATGACTCACAGGCCAGGCAGGAGGCAGGTGGCGCCTGTGATGGAAGCTAGCCTTGCCTGGGAGCAAGTGGAGGGGGGCTCCTGGGGGCTGGGGAGAACAGCTAGGGGTGGTGGTGAAAGGAATCCCATTCTCAGGCCTACACAAAAGCATCAGCCAAGTTGACTCAGCAGAAAAGAAAGAAAAACCTCTTACCAAACCCTTGTGAGTTTGGTGGACAGGTGGGCAGGTGTGGAGATGATGTGGGAAGTCACGTGAGCACTGGACTAAGACATGCACTTGTATCCACACTGGCAGTTGGCCTAACCCTGAGCCAGACTGTTGATAGTAGCTTTATGATTTACAAATTAAACTCCACATGTACCATCTTTGTTACTTCTCACAGCTGTAGAATTTTACAAGTGCACATAGAGGCTTGTTGTTGTTGTTGTTGTTGTTGTTGTTGTTAGGTGCTGTTAAGTCAGCTCCAACTCATAGCAACCGTATGTGCAACTGAATGAAACACTGCCCGGTCCTGTGCCAGCCTCAATCCTTGTCATACCTGAGCCCATCATTGCAGCCACTGTGTCAATCCATCTTGTTGAGGGACTTCCTCTTTTTCATTGACCCTCTACCGGAGTGTGATATCCTTTTTCAGGGAATGGTCCCTTTTGATCAAAGTAGGTGAGACAAAGTCTGGCCATTCTCCTTTCCAGAGATCATTCCAGCTGCACTTCCTCCAGGACAGATTTGTTCGTTCTGGCAGTCCATGGTACTTTCAGTATTCTTCGCCAACACCATAACCCAGAAGCATCAACTCTTCTTTGGTCTTCCTTATTCATTGCCCAGCTTTCACATGCATATGAGGTGATTAAAAACACCATGGCTTGGGTTACACAACCACTGCCATGGAGTCAGCCCCGACTCATAGCGACCCCTTCTCGGTTTCTGAGGCTGTATCACTACAGAAGTAGATTGCCCAACCTTCCTTCCGAGGAGTGGCTGGTAGGTTTGAACTGCCAACCTTCTGGTTAGTAGTCACATGCCTTAAGCACTAAGCCACCAGAGCTCCCTGGCTTAGGCTAGGTGCACCTTAGTCTTCAAAGAGACATCTTTGCTCTGAATTCAGCACTTTAAAGAGGCCTTTTGCAGCAGATTTGCCCAGCGCAACACGTGGCCTGATATCTTGACTGCTGCTTCTATTGGTGTTGCTTGTGGAATCAAGTAGTATGAATTCTTAGACAACCTCCGTCTTCTCTCCATTTATCATGATGCTGCTTATTGGTCCAGTTGTGAGGATTTTCGTTTTCTTTATGTTGAGGTGTAATCCATACTACAGAAGCTGGACTATATGAAGAAGAAGACGGCATCAGGATTGGAGGAAGGGTCACACAGGCTTGGAGGGGTCAAATGACTTGCTCACGGGTTTAGGCAGCTCTTCAGAATTACAGGATTGTAAATTCCTGCTAGGGGCAGGGGCAGGGCCAGGGGCAGCACCCTCTTCTTTTCCTCCCTTTTTTTCCCCTCCCTCCTTCCCTTCCTTCCTTCTCTCTGTTCTTTCTTCCTCCTCCCTCCTCCTTCCTTTTGTGCTGCAGTGTCCAGCTCATAGCACCCTGAACTCTTTGGGGTATCTGTGCTCACATCTGCCTGCTCCCGTTTCCAGCCCTCTGTCCACTGAACCAGCTGCTGAAGACTTACTCCGTGCCTCCATCAGAGAGAACAAGGGCTGCACTTTTCCCTTATTCCTGTTTTCTTTCCTGCCTGTATCCTACTTCTTCCCTCAAGAATGACATCTTTAAACCCCTGCCGTCTTTGGCCTTACACTTGCTTTAAAAAAAATTGTTTTTAATTGCTATATAACATCTATATGGTAAATGTTCATATGGTAAAGTGCACAAAGCTTATGTATACAAATCAGTGAATTCTCTCCCTCTTTTTTCTTGAGTCATTACTGTGGAGTCCTTTCAACTTCTCCTTTAAGGCCGCATGATGACACTGTGTCTTTCTCTCTCTCTCTCTTCTTTTTGTTTAAATGGTGTCATATTGGTGTCTTGTTGCACAGAACACATTCCTAGGAAGTCTTTCTAAGTTTTCTGGAAGGATTTAGAAGTCATGTAGCCTTTCCAGCCTCAAGTCCCGAGCGCAGGTGGCATAAGTCAAACAGTTGATCAGAACAGAAACCTCACTAGGTCAGAATGTCTGGGGGTAGACCTGAAGACCACCTGCTTTGGCTCACCTGAGGACAGGTTAAAATGCATAGTCCTAAGCTCTGGTAGCATAGTGGCTAAGACGCTTGCTAACCAGACGGCTGGCGGTTCAAACCCACCAGTCACTCCTCGGAGGGAAGGTTGGGCAATCCTACTTCTGTAGTGATACTGCCTCGGAAACCCAAGGAGGGGTCGCTATGAGTCGGGTTTGACTCGAGGGCACATAACAACAACAACAACAAGCCTCAGCCCAACGTGATGAATCAGAAGCTCTGGTGGTGGGGCTCAGGAAGGTGCATTTGAAACAAGTTTCCTAGTGATTCCTGTCCACGCTACCATTTGAGAACTACTGTATCAAGTGGCAAACTCCCCAAACGCTGCAGCCCCCAGCATCTGGCCCACGGCCTGGCATTTGGTAGGAATACAATGAATGTTCATTAACCAAATTAATCCACATTTTCTGACACAGTCTAGAGTTTTTTGGTACCACATCATATTATTGTAACAACACCATTTCTATATGGGAAAATCTACGTTTCGGGGTCTTTTTACTTGAATTGGTTTCATTTTAAATGGAGCACAAGAGGAAAGAGGGTTGACTTTGGCGGTTTCTCAGGTCTCAGGGAAGGTCCCTTTAGAAACCAGCTGGGCCCACCAGGCTGCTGTACTTCAGATCTGGTGGTTGGTGGTGGTGGGGGGGGCAGGAGAAAAAGCTCCATGTTTTTGGAAAGCCCCAGACGAAAGGAACCTGTCCTCCACCCCAACCCCAATTAAAGTGCATGGCTCTGGCCCTGCACTCCAAGAGTCTTTGGTTGCAACAAAAGGGTTCTGTTGGAGAAACAGTGGAGCTGTGGAAGGAGCAAGGTCACAGCCCAGAGAAACTGGCATGGAATGGACACGGGAGCTGAAAATTATTGGGTGTTCTCTAATTTACAGGTGATGTGAAACTTCTTTTTTTTTTTTCCTTGTATTGTGATTTGGGTGAAAGTTTACAGAGCAAATTCACTTTCCATACAACAGTTCACACACATGTTGTCTCATGACATTGACTACAATTTACCACAATGCAACAGCTCCCCTCCCACTTCCTCCCCATAGTTACCTCTTCCCTGTGTCCATCCCTCCGTGCACTCCTGAGCCCTGAGCTGTCTCCCTGTGCATAAACAGCCCTTCTTTCTCCCATGATTGTTCTCTCCAAGGAGTGTATCTACCTCAGGTAAATGTTCAGCTCATATGCCCGTCTTTTGTTTGGCTGGAAGCCACAGGTGGGGTTCAATTCCAG